TTTTTCGTTTAGAGTTATTAATTAAAGCAAAATTGAGTTATTAATTAAGGCAAATTTGAGTCATCAATTAAAGAAACTTCTATATACGGCCATTCGCGATCAATAATAACTTGAACTTCCGCGCGCTGCACGCAAAATGGTAGAAGACTGTTTTATTCACATTGATCTAATCTGCAAGTGTGTGACGGTTGGTATTGGTCTTGCATCAGACCTTGTATGCAGGATTCTGATCGACGGGAACGAAACGCGGTCTCAGGATACTTGACGGCGTGCGGACGCGTGCGGATCGGCCGCGAAACGCACGCGATACGCACGCGCGTTTAGCGGCAGAATGCGGCTGTGAGTTAGATCATACAGCTGCTTACCGGCCAGCTAGCCCCGATAAGGGTGATATATAGGAAGATAGGCGTGAATGTAAATTGCCATAAATTATAATTTCATGGCTTCCGCGATTAATTCTCGATGAGCGAGCCGGAAGCTGCGAAATTATCGCGGCAACGCGCGCGATCGGCGGTAGTCGGTTGAAGCGGAGAGAGAGAGAGAGAGAGAGATCGCTCACAATGGAAATTTCGGGAAGGGGGGGAATTGAGGCCTCGTCAAATCCGCCATTTTACGCGCGCATCGACGTCTCGCCGGAGCGATTTTCTCCTTTCTCTCTCTTTTTTTTTTCTTTCTTCCTTCCTTCTTCTCTTCCTCCGAGAGTTCCCCGATGCACCGTTCAACCATTCATCGGGATTAACAGCGTCGAACATACAAGCAAGGCACAAAGAAAACGGGTCGCGGCAATTCGGTCAGACGTAGGTCCTCCCTCCGACCTATTTTTTCGCGGGGCTACACTTTTGACCTCGGAACACGCGAGCATCCCCGTGCGGACATTTCGGTGACTCGCCGCGACACACCGCGAGGGGGTGAAATTTCGAGGTAGCAAAACATTGTAAGCGGAATCTCCGACATGTACCGACACTCTATTAAATATATCAATAATATCCTCTGGTGAATCCGTGCGTTCGCACTTCCTCTCAGTCGTGATTCGTGAGAGCTACCGAATGTGTCAATGCTTCAATCAAGAAAATTTAATAGAACATTTTTGCATCTTTTTAATGGAATTTAGACTTATGTTATCTCAATATTTCGTGTTGAGTCGATATTCAACATGTATAAGTGTTAAAATAACACTTGTAAGTATTAAAATAACACATTTTGTACTTCAGTGTTGATTAATATATTATGAATATTAAAATCTCGCGTTAATTTCTGATACATTTGTGATACTTTTCAACATATTCATCTCGTGTTAAATTAACACGAAAATTTGTATAGACCGTTTATGAGACCTGCAAAATATATTAAATTTATCACAACATTTTTCACCGTACAGCGTCGGTGACGATAATCTTACGCGTATTATTATTACTATCTTCCGAAATAGAATCGAATGAAGACACAGCTGAGACCGGAAGTGGAAGCTGTAATTTTCGCGGGATCCGTCTCAGTACGGTGAAATATCCAAATCCGATCGTCGCGAAGGTAAGAACAAGCGACTGCCGTGGCGCTTGACTTACCTCACGATAAATTACGAGAACACGAATTATCCCATCCAAATACAAATCCCGCGCGGCGCCAAACAATTGTGTTCCGACGTGACGACGTGGGAGTACCTTCCGGGACGGCGATTGCGCGCCCGCCGAGGATTAAGATTAGATTTATCCGGCCCTCGTTTTGTAATCCCTCAATGCGGGGACGCTCGGGATAATAAACGCGACGAAGAGGCTGCTCACGGTCGCACGCACCCTGGTATATTTATGGCGCGTGCGCGCTTCAATGCCGCGGCGTTACCATGAATAGAAGCTAAGCAACCCTAACGTCACTATGTTCGGATTACGGGACGGGGTAATCGCGAGAAAAAAAGAGAGAAAGAGAGAGAGAGAAAGAGAGAATGCAACGACTCCATATTCATCACTTTATTAGATATGTGTCCGCGCAAAAACGGACATCCATTACGTGATTGCTCCTCCTTGTAGGGTGGAAAGAAAAGGAGAGAGAAAGAGAGAGAGAGAGAGAGAGAGGTACCCAGGTCGAAATTTGGATGCAACGGTGACGCTCCTATAAGGATAATTTAGACCGTACTTGCCAACTGCTCTTTTAAACCTGTAATTCTAGAGATATAATCTGCTATCTTGAACAACCTATTTTTGGCGTTGGAACAGCGAAAAGGAAACGCCTCTTTCGGTGGAATAATCTCGACCGCGGTATCGTCGATTTATGAGCGCTCGTGTCTCTCTCTCTCTGGCGATGCGCTCTGATCTGTAAATTGTAGCCGCTGAAATCCCAGCCTGCTATGCAAACTTCTTTTCGAGAGAGAAGTTCTCGATCTCCTTCCGTCGTCACACTCCAGAGAACTCTCCAACTTGACATTTCACTGTCCGAGCTCGCCTCGCCGGTGGCTTCCGAGCTCAGCGTGATTGAAGCAACATAATTGCGTCGGGATTTTCAACGGTACGTCCTCCTGCCGTCAGATTTGCGCGCGCGCACGCGACAAGCCGATGTAATACTTGACAAAAATCACTTCATGAGAGACAGAAAGAGAGAGAGAGAGAGAGATTACGCTGTTAATGTGGAACTGGGTCGACCGGATACCGGACATGCAGTGGAACGTCCTTTCAGTAAATCCTAATTTCATCGCTATAATCCGCCGTGCAAAACGCGCCCGTCGATATGCACGTAACTGTGTGCGCATAATCGTCCGGCACGGATCGACCGGACAAGGTACATGCGCGTTCATCCAAAAATTCACTTCATTTCGAAACAATTCCGATATCATCAATTTCTTTCCTTTTTGCGTTCGACACAATGCAAAACATCGTTCGAGATAGATGATAGATAAGTGTGTTCATTCTAACTCTTCGCTCCATAAGAGCGTTAGATCGCTGCGAATCGGGGCCGAATTTTTGTATTCCCATTTGCACTTCTGTCTTCACTTTGCATTTTTATTTTCATCCTCATTTTTTACCTCTACTTTTGCACACTACCAAAAAGTTCTCCATATGTTACTTTATTTCTTATACGCGCTTCAGAGGAACCGCTCTGCAAACGGACGCCCGATAGAATCCGACACGGCCCGCCACGCATTGTTAAATATAATTTAGCCCGATCTATACCCGCTTCGGTAAAATCAAATTCGAGAATGATTCGAGTCATTTTGTTAACGGAAGAAACTAGATTATATTTGTGCGATACACGCCTTCAGCGCTCTCTTGTCGGACGTTTCACCGGGCCGCGTAATTCAAGCTTCGTTTTCCGACGTCTCGGCCGCGGTCGCTCGCGCTTATGTGGGACGGTTGAAGATTTAATTAGCGGCGATCTAGCGTCCAGTCGCGCGCTGATTTCATTAGAGCAAGAATATCCGGCGGAATAATATCGCTCGTTATAGAGAGAAAGAGACGGAGGCGTGGATAAATGGAGGGCGACGTGGACGATGCGCGGAGTCTCGCCGATTTCGTTCCTGAATGGTCCTCCTTAACGAAGCGACGGTGTACCCTCGTTAAAATTTCACGTAGCCGATTGCTGTTTAATGCGTCGGGATTTCGCTCTCGTTTAATCGAAAACTGTCAGCGCGGTCTTGCGCGCGCAGAACTACGTGCGTTTGTCGTGGGGCGTGGACGCATATACTTGCGCCCGTTGATTTGGTCGCGTTAATTAATTGATAAAATAGGAAAGTAAATCCTCCCCCCTCCCGTCGTTAATTAACGGAGACCTTTCGACTGGATTTTTCTTCATCATTCGGAGACTTTCGACGGGATTTTTCTTCATCTCAGCGTGTACCGATTCTCTTGTGAAATATTCTTATGTTTTGCGCGATAATTAATGATCCTTCCCGGACGGCCGTTATTGATCTCGCAATCGCGCGTAATATACTCGTGTAAAACGAGAGGGAAAAAAGAGAAAGAGAGAGAGAGAGAAAAAAACAGCGGCAGTTTCGCCGAGCGAAGAGTAATTGAACGTGCCGTGTCGAGCGCTCGCGTCGATTGGTCAAAGTGTAATGATTTCCGGCGAGCGCGAAGTGTACGCCTCGTAAAACGCGGCACATGTATAATCGCGCTAATTAGACGGCCGCCCATACTTGATTAAGCAATCTCGGCTCGCTCGAGCTCAGTCGATCGCCAATTGCGAAACTCACGACGAAACGAGCCCGGGTTTTCTTCACGGCGAAAAAGATCGGTCGAATGAACGAGTGACGACGACGACGAATCGACGGCGAATTTTCGCCGAAGGGGACGGAATTTCCGACTCCAAGAACCAAATTCGGTTCGCAAGCATAAATCGGAAATTTCGTCTCGCGTTAACGAGAACGTTCCACTCGGCTCGGATCGTTCATCGTCGCGTAAAAAATTCGACCGATCTTCTCCGTAACGATAACGATTTTCTTCGCCATTTTCTATTTTAACCCGAATCTCGACACATCGACACTATCAGTGCGACGAGAGAGAGAGTATGAGAGAAAAAGAGAGAGAGAGAAAGAGAGGCAAAACTCAATTCTCCTGTAAAACTCGCTTTCCTTCTGCTTAACCGGAGTAACTCCGGTTACTACGAAAATTTGAAACTCGATATTGGTTCGAAATCGGTCTGGAGGATCCGCCGCCGAAAATGAAGGCTCGCGCGACGAAGAAAGAGAGAAAGAGAGAGAAAGAGATTCACGTGACGTGAATCTCTTTCTCTCTTAGCGCTCCGGATAAACTTCGGCCCACCCAGCAAACTCCGCGACTCTGACAGATCACGCACGGTTTCTACGCCAGCGCGCTTTTCTCGCGCGACGAATCAAACTTCACAGAAACTCTTCCTCTTCCCTCCGCGTCGCATACGCCGCCGGCCCACTGAATTTCCTATGGGCGCTGTCGCAGGATCCTCGGGATTCCCTCGCGGTCTCCTGTGTCTCATGCGACTCCCCCTCCCTCCCTGCCTCCCGCTCAGGGGTTGATTTAACTGTGACGTAACGCACTCACCGATGCAGACGACGAGCGCCACGGCGAGAATCGGCGGGAAAGCCCTCGAGGACGAAAGCATGCTGCGTGCCCGAGACGTGGTTGGTTGGCCGTTGACGAAGAGGCTCGACGAACGAGAAGATACCCCGCGAGACGGGCAATAAGAGTCACTCGGGTCACTTTGGAGCGTCTTCTTCCACGCGGGACCGAAGCTGGGCTAGGTTGATGGAGCCACTCGGAAAGGGCGGGACCGACGACGGCCCGCGGAAACGAAAAACGCAAGAAAAAGGCACTGCGTGCACCGACCCGCTTTTCTCCGGACGATCCCGCGCTCGATCCCCTCTTGATCCCCGCCGTCAATCACTGGTAACCCCGGGGATACCCTGGTCCACTCTTTCGAATAACACCGAGGACCGAGGATCAATCTCGATCCCTCCACTGAAACGGGACGCGCGCGACCAGAGAACCGGAGTGAAAGCGCGCGCGAGAGAAAGAGAGAGAGAGAAAGGGAGAGAATGAGAAAGAGAGGGAGAGACTCCTTTTTCCCCTTTCGAAAATATTTCTCCTTCAAGTTCTCCTCGAAAATGATGATCGCACCCACACGTTGAGTCTGTTTTCCTTTCTTTCTTTCTTCTTCTTCTACTTTGATCTCTTTTCTCTCTTCTGTATTTCCTTTTTCCTCTTCTCCCTTTAACGGAACCCTCTCTCGCGTGATTAATCGACGACCGCGGGTGTCACGGGTGGTACCCGACTCGGCAGATGAGATGGGAGGGGGGCAGCTTTTACAAGAAGGCGCGTCCTACCACCCGTACGTCTGTTGCGGCGCCGACGTCGGACTGACTTTCTCTACGTTACTCTCTACTACTCTGCAGCAGTGGCGACGCGCCGCGCCGTACCGCGCCGAGCGGTGCCGCGCCGCGTCGTCGCGCGAGTACATCCCGTCACGTGTGCGCCCGTGGGCGTGCTCCGATGCAGGACACCGTCGCAGGAGGCCGTGTGTGCGAGAGACATCGCGGCCCTTCGAATTTCGAACGCGCGCGCGCCTCTCGCCGGAGAACAGCCGCTCAACCCGGAGTCCGGCCGATGTCACAAGGGCCCAGTCACGGCCGAATTTGCGAAAATCGACGATCGGAAATTGTAATCCCGTTACCGGCCGATGCAGAACGGCAGAGAACGTATCTGTGTTGGAAAGCGGCTCCTCCTGCGGACTTTTGCGTCGAGCTTTCGACATGTGTGTTGATTCAACGTAACGTTGTGTATCGTCTGACTTTTCTGCTTCTTGAATTGGCTTCGATGTTTCTAAGCGTTGAAATAACACATTTTACGTGTAAGTGTGCGAATGAACACGAAAACAGTGTACTTTTGAAAAGTAAATTTTGAGAAAAGTAAGGAAAACAATTTACGCATTATTTTGGTATATTATAAGTGTTAATGCGAGAAAAAATGGTGCTTTGCATCATTGGTGATCTAATGTTCGGACGGTAAAAATAACTTTCTGTACTCGTGTTAAAATCGGTTCTCGCTAAAATTTCAGTGTTAAGTTTTTAACATACTCGTGTGTTAATTTAACTTATTGTATTTGTGTTATCTCAATATTTTGCGTTGAGTCGACATTCGACTCAACATATGTATGTGTAAAGTTGGAACATTTTATGCTTCAGTGTCGATTAACATTATGGATATTTAATTTTGTGTTAATTTTTTACATAATATTTGTGGTACTTTTTAACATATTCAGCTTATGTTAAATGAAGATAAAAATTTGTATGGACCGTTTAGGACATGTGAAATGTATTGAATTTGCTACAACATTTTTTTACTTGTGTATTATTCCTCAATATATTCACTTCATATTAAATTAACACACCAAAATAAATAGGGATGCTTGGATGGAATATATGAAATATATTATATTCTAAAAATCTCTTAATTTAATGCAAAATTTTTAATAAAAAGAATTTTAAATATAAAAATAGAAAAAATGTTTTTTCTACGTGCATGGTGACGCAACACGATTGATATATACGGTCTTCTCATTAACACGTCACATCCGATAATATTTAAATCTCCTTTTGTTTAAAAAAGTATTTTTCTTTTAAAGAGGTATTTTTCGTTTAACAGGACCAAAATTTCGACTCGGGATGATCCTCGTTTCCCGTAGCGATGCAAGGCTTCCGTGCAGGACGAGATGCGCGAGGAAGTCGTGTAATTTTCGGTGTTCGATCAGCACGCGACGTTGGTATGAAGAATTCGCGCGCATATTTCGGAGAGATTCAAGACGCATTCCTTTAGCTCTTTAGAGAAGTCGCCTCTCGTCAGGAGTAACTCTCGTTCGGACAGACCACCGATGAGAAACGCGCGCCGTGAAAAGCGGACACGGCGTGAAATGGACTCCGGATGGGAAACTCCGGATGGAAAAAGCTTGCAGCCTTCTTTAATAAATCATACCTCTCTGTGCGACGACGACGTGTTCGTGTCCTTCCCGGTGACGCCGTAAACACGTTTAGTGTCCGCCGTGCGGACCGTCGCGCATCGGTTTACATATCGAGTTATTGCAGTATGCATTCACGCCGTAGTTGTCGACCAGTGCGTACAATGTGTGCGCGTGCATATAATGCGGACGGCAACATTGTAACATGCGGCATCAATCATAGAATTTCCTGCAGGTGAACGTGCAGTCAGTTCCCATCGCGTGAATTCCACCCGCCGGCAGCCCNTTCTCACCCTGCCCCACCCTCCCCGCCTTGTCGCTCACTCTCTGTTTTTCCAGAGTCCCTGTCGAAATTTGGCAACCTTCGTATCTCGGCAAGAATGGAAATGGAGAATGTCAAGCGGCGGCGGCGCCGACGGCAGTGGGAAACGGCGAAAAATAGATCGAACTTTTATTCAAGTATATTGTATGTTTCGCAGCTATGGCTTTCGCACGTGAGAATTTCGCAAAATCGTCGGCCGAGAAATGACTCGCTCATCTCGCATTCCGTTGAGAAAATGTTTGGTACCGGTAAGTGAAATCGGAATAGTGAAAGAGTCGGGAGGACCATTTTTGTAACGAGTGTTATTACTCGTATAATGTTAGCGATAATGCATGCAAGTTGCTACCACTATTTTTTTTGTTAGAACAGTAATAAGGCGGTATTCATAGTTAGGTCTTATATTTAAAATTAATTATTCTCTCATTTGAAACGTTCCGTTTGGTAGGCGAACTTTAAAAATATCTTTTTGAGAAACTATAAGACATACAATTTTAAAGATTCGCACAAATATTTATCTATGCTTGAACCATATACAGTAATTTCTACATGTTAATGTAGAATATTAATATTACATATTAATAAAGTTATATGTGTATATGAAAAAATATGAATAAATGATAATATGAATGACAGTATGAATAAATTTGTTAGCGGTTAACACGAAAAGTTAGCGTGGTGACCACGCTTCCAGACATCGTAGGTTTCCGAAATCATAGCGGCGGAAAATAATTAAACTATAAACCTGTGGCTATCGTTCCTCCATGGAGAGGAACTACGATCAAATCAATATCCTTAACACTCAGATTTGTTAAGAACTCTTATTGATAATGATATAATAATTATTATTATTATAACTAATAATAATTATATATAATTATTTTTGTATTATCTTATCAAGAGTTAATAAAATTTGTATCAAAGGTAATATTATATAGGAGGAAAACAGCAAAATTGACATAGATATGATAAAACAACATACCCGTACTTTTTAGTTAGTAGTAAATTAACTCTATTAGACAGAACATGAACTTTGTCTACTGTACGTAGTAGTTGGAGCTGAAGTAGCAGGTTCTGTTTGCAAACGCGTTCGACTGTGTTATTAACATTGTTTGATCTTTTATTGTGCTGCAGTTTTTGTTATCTCCTTGTGAAGATGAAAGTAACAAGTCAGCGGTAAGTAATTTATTTCACAATTCTCTTTTATAATGTGACTTTTGAACTTTTCCAATCACTTTAGATCTTGTGTGAATCTCCATTCTCCTTCACTGAACTATGCAAGAAGCGTTAGGCTTAGGTTATTCTATAATCTGACATACCTAAGTTTATCGGTCCTTTAACCGACATTCTTGAATTTTGCTGTGAAATATTATTTTCACAGAATACAATCAAACCTACCGGTGACTGATTTTCTCTTGCTTTTCTTGTTTGTTTAAAATGATCAGAAAGAAAAGTTAGAGAAAATCTTTTTTCACATGATGATGATGAAAAATATGTAAGATTAAAGATAACATAAAAGGATACACAGGATTAAAAGTACGACCCGAGACTCAATATCGGATTATTCGTTTTGAAGAAGCGTCGGAAAAAAATCTATAAAGGACGCGGCGATAACTTGGAAGCTAAAATAAATATTTATCCATACCGCGGAAACTTAAATCATGGATATTTTAATTTTAGAATCTGGTGTTTTAGAAACGTCAGTTCTCAAACATATGAAAAAATAGTTATTTGCGAAAAAATATATAATAATTTTCCTAGGAAATATCATATATCTTGGTGGAGAAGCAATGCTGGTTTGCATCCAAGCACATACATTTTAATTTTACCCTTACAGCAGGGCTTTAAAGCTCAAGAATAAAATGTCATGTCGGTTTTGGTGCTTTTCCTCTAAAGTTGCCTTGACGAGGCATTAAAAAATAATTATATTCCCAACGTTAAACCCGTGATAGATGACCTCTTAGATCTATTATTCCTCTCGTGATTGTGTAAATCTAAAAGCGTTAGAATCATTATTATTGTACATTCAGACATTGTTGAAATTTTTCGACTAGTTTAAAGATGTTTTCCAACGAATATTTGCAACGATAGACGCGTATGTGCTCGTCTTTAAAATGCAAATTGTGAAATATAACGTCGCGTGAGCAATGGCGCCGTTCTGTAATTTCATAACGTGTCCCTACACGATCATAATTATGTGCGAATGACGACGCATAAAGCGATATAATGCCAATTAAAGCGGTGAAAAGAAGCGTTTTGTACATACGTGTGTATGCAAACGCGAAAATCAAATCTTTCGCGTAAGACGGATAAAAGTGTGCATGCGTGTGATGAGAATTAAATTCTGCCGATTTACGCGCATATACACGTATGTACGTGTGTGTGTGTGTGTGTGTGTGTGTGTGTGTGTGTGTGTGTGTGTGTGTGATTGGATTTACATCGAGCCGCTTTTCACGGTTTATAAATCCGTGAACATTCACATTGTCCTGTTGAAACTTCATCGTACGGCAAATGAACGTCGTTTATCGCGCAAGTTGCGCATAAATAATATTTGAAATATTGCGGGATACGGAATAAAATAAGAGGAAAAAGGGGAAAAAAAGTTACTTTTCAACATTCTTTCGCCAGAGCAAAGTTCACTTCACTTTGCAGGGCGTGATGTAATTTCGAGAGAATATTGGGCTTCTAATAGAGCGAAAGGGTCAGGCTTTGACACGATAAATGTGGATTGATATAATTTACTGCCGACTCGATAACGAGCTGTTATTCAATATCTATCATTCAAGCGATCCCGTATCAGAAACGCGATACCCGAATATGAAATTTGTGCCACCGATAGGTTAGAGATCAAAGCGCGCGATGCGTATCGCTCTAAATGATAAACAAGCGATGTTACGTTAGCGCTGCGCTAACGTCTTACCATTATCACGCCCTCCTCTTTAAATCTGACAAAGCGAAACTGATAAAGAAAAAAAACCTGATCTCCAACTTTCGTTGTTTCATCAGACCCGTGGTATGTGCGAACCGAACAGTACAAGCTGGTGGCAGCACTTCCTCGACGAGCAGCAGCTTCTGCTTTAACTGTACTACCGACGCG